GTTTTAGGGTTAAATGTTGCGTTTCCCAAGGGACACAGTTACATGTGGTGATAATTCCATTAAATGTTAATTGGAGCAGCTTCTGGTGTGTAGACTAGTCTTCTCTGTCTTTGGATCTGTTATTTTGTCCAGCACCAGTACTCAACCTTTGGATGTGTGTGCTGTTTGCTATTTTTTAAATGTTGTGTGTAGCTGAAGAGTCTGAAGCTTTGTTTTGTCTCTTTGTCGTCTTACAGAACGACACCAACCGGTGAAGATGATGCAACAGAAGAGCAAATTTGCTCACAGGTCCATTCCTGAGATCAACATCAAGGTATGTTTGGGTTTTTTTCCACCATGCAACGTGATATTTAAATAGTTTGTGAACAGATTCTGATGAATTATGTGTGTATAACACACACACACACAGTGAACACACACACACACACACACACACACACACACACAGTGAACACACACACATACACACACACAACACACACACCACACACACACACACAGTGAACACACACACATACACACACAGTGAACACACACACACACAGTGAACACATGTGAAACACACATACACACACAAACACACACACACACAGTGAACACGTGAAACACAAACACACACACACACACAGTGAACACACACACACACACCACACACACACACCACACACACACACACACACACACACACACAACCACAGTGAACACACACACACACAACACACACACACACACACACACAAACAAGGTGACACACACACAACACACACACAGTGAACACACACACACACAACACACACACAGTGAACACACACACACACACACACACACACACACACACACACACACACACACACAACACACACACACACACACACACACACACACACAACACACCACACACACAGAGTGAACACACACACAGTGAACACACACAACACAGAGTGAACACACACACACACACACAGTGAACACACACACTGATGGTTGACGTTGTTTCCACACCAGCTGGAGATGGAGCTGACCCATCAGAAGTTTGTGGATTGGTCTCGTCCGGACATGATGGATCAGGGTACGGTGGAGGTGAAACTTCCTCGATTCAAGCTGGAGGAGACGTACGAACTGAACAACGTCCTGAAGAAGATGGGCATGTTGGACGCTTTCGATGTCTCCATGAGCGACTTCTCTGGTGAGACGCGGCTGCATATTTTAAACACAAAAATGAATAAGCTGATTCAGTTTGCATGGTTGACCAGCAGGCTCTTCCTCTCCTCTGTGACAGGCATGTCTCTAGCCAACGACCTGTTCCTGTCCAAGGTCGTCCACAAGGCGTTTGTGGACGTGAACGAGGAGGGGACAGAGGCAGCTGCAGCCACTGGTGCCGTCTTATGGGATACGCTCTGTCGACATCCCTTTCACCTTCATCGCTGACCACCCCTTCCTCTTCTTCATCAAACACATCCCCACCAAGACCACCCTCTTTGCAGGTCGATACTGCAGCCCGGAGTGAACCCGGCTGGAGGTCCTGCAGACACGGAGGGATGTGAGGGACTAAAAGACGTGTGGGTTGTGTCTCTTCTCTTGTTTTCTGTTTATTTTCGGTTGCTCTTTGTTCTTCAATATTTGCATGTGTCTCCTTGTAGTTTTGTGTCTCTTGTAGTTGTTTCCAGCCTCTTTAAAGTTTGATTGACTTCAACAAAAAAAATCACTTATGAAAACGCTCTGGGATCTGGGCCCCCTGACCCCCTGCTCAGTAGTCCGTCCATGCCTGCAGACCGTCGTTATTCAACCGGGGGTGAGATACATCTACTGTAGCTGAGAGGGTAATCATGTTTTCTTGGACACAATAGATCCCCCTGACTGTGGGCGTGCACTCCTGTATTTCTCCTCTGCGTTGATTTGAAAAGAGTGATGAATCAGTAAGGTTGAATCCTGTTTAAATCTTTTGCATGGAAGCATTTTGCTCAAGTGATTTTCTTGATGTGATGTGGTTTAAGAAAAACGGCACATACATTGTATTTTTCTTGCTTCTACTTCAACCATGTACATCAGTCCTCTGTACTCAGTGTCACACAGGTTTTCTCATGGGCATCCTGAACAACTCCTCTTTATCTGGGATCAACGTCCTGCACACTGCGCCCTCACATCCCACTCCAATTAAACATTTTGCAATAGTTAACCAGACTTTGTCATTTAAAGTTGTGTTTATGTGAAATCAAAAATCTGATCTCTACTTAAACAGAGCGTCCAAGGCGGTGTGAATGTGAGGAACATGATGTCCATTGTCGTGTTTGTGTAGGTCATTCCAGATGTGTTTGTTCACCACCTTATTTGCCTCTATGAAGGTTTATTCTCTGTTGGGCCCACTGCCCAACAGACCTGTAGTATTGCTTAATATGTAAATTATGTAACCTGAACTTGTTTTGACCAAGAGATGCTCACTATATGACAATGCTTTTTGTTCAACCATACTGTAAAAATACGGTCTTCTTCCCAAATACACATGAATATAAATACATATATGTATGAATAATAGGCTAATATTACTTTTATATATAAAATATGGACTAATATGGACTTTTATATCCCTTTTCTGAATACTCAAAGATGTTTAACAAAGAACAACAACAAAACAATTTAGATGATATCATGTGTGCATACATTGTTTTGGGTTTTTTTGTTTACTTTTTTGGGACTTCAGCGGGTCGGTGTTTTTGTTAATTTGATCTACCGGTTATTACATTTATTTAAAGCTAGAAAAATATAAAAACATCTTATTCTGCTGAATTACAACTCGGTATGAATTACATACCGAATTACATACTGAATTACAACACACATATGTGTTGCCACAGCGCCCTCTTCCGGCCACACAGACGTACTGCAGCTGTCTGCGTTTGTGACTGTAGTCATGCGAGTGAACATGAGGCGGTCAGAGGAGGAGACAGGGCGGAGGATAAACAGCAACACGACCCTTCGGGCTTCATGTGTGTGATTGAATTATTTTCTGCAGGGGAACAAAGTGACCTTCCACGGTGAGAGAAAGTCCTTGTCATCGTAGGTCATCTAACATTGCAGCATACTAGCTTCCTTTGCTAGCGTAAATGTAAGGAGGTAAGCCTGTCAGTTGGGTACATGACGCGCAGAACCTCGTTTATAAATGTCTTGATTTAGTGTTCGCTCATTTATCATCAACAGAATACCTCAAAGAAAACACATAAATATGTGTGTGTAAAGATTAAGTGTTGCTGCTTTATTCGGCGTAATTAAAACAACATGAGCAGCTTTTGCTTTAATTATATTTCAGTTAGGCTACTTTGCTTGGACTGTTGTCAAACCGTAGCTAAGTTACCTTGCTAACGGAAGATGTATCTACCTGTCTGCTCGGTACTTTAATCCTCCGCTGTTCTTTTTTCTAAATTAGTAAATTGACTTAAAGTATCTGTAGTGTTAACCTTTGAGTGTAGAGCTGCCATTTTGCCACAATTTGCCAAAGTAGTTTTGTATTGTTCAGTGAAAAGGACGTCATCATCATTAGCTCGCTTGCTAACGTTACCTTTACCAAACGTTAGCTACGTCGTTAGCCGCCTGATGCTAAAATCATGACCGGAAGTGTTAAGCCGGATGTTTGGCAGGCGGAGTGTTGTTCAGTCCCAGCTCTAATATTTAGACATGTATACCATGAAACAGCTGCCAGTCAAAGAGAGCACCGGTATTAATTGTCATTTTAGCCACTCCTTACTAAGGTTGTCATAATAATCTTCGATTTTTCAATACTTTTTCGATTCCCCGCGTTTTACGATACATTATCTGTTATTATAATTATCAGTAGTAGAGCTGCTCAATTATGGCAAAATACTGATCAGGATTGTTTATATATATTTATTTATATATATATTTTTAAAGATTTATTTTTTGGCCTTTTGTGCCTTTATTGGAGGGATAGGACAGTGGAGGGAGAGAGAGAGTGGGGAATGACATGCGGGAAAGGAGCCACAGGCTGGATTCGAACCCGCTTGGAAGACTATAGCCTCCATACATGGGGCGCGCGCACTAACCACTGCACCACCAGTGCCCCTATGATTGTTTTAATATTGAGATCATGATTATTAAAAATGATTACTCGTTGATTTTACAGCGTCTGCATCACATTATCAAACTTAAACCCTCTTAAGACTTTGACGCTTGTTAGTTTTTTTAATCTTTATTTATGTAGGCCAGTCCCTATCAGATCAGGTCATAAATGTTATGCTGACATCTAGAACACCGAACTACTCATTAAAAAAAATGCTTTTGATTGGACAGAAGGAGTCACCTGTTGTACAAACTCTGATCTGTTTACCGTGGAACATGAAAGAAAATATCGGCATTATTGGAGTCATACATCAAAAGAAGAAATAAAGAAAAAATCGTTGACGGAATTGGCAATCGGCTAAACATGTTATTTTACTCCTTGATATACTTATCAGCTTTGATGTTAGCAGTGACAGCTTCTCGAAGCCCCACTGGCTCTGATTGAATGTTTGACATGTAGCTGTATCGGATCAAAATCAATGTCAGGCTTAGCTTCTGCATGAAATCCACCAGGCAGGTTCCTCTTCCTCTTTGTGGAGTCAAATCATCATAGCTGATTTATTTTATGCTACATCTGGAGCAGGCAGACTAAAGCTAACCACCTGACTATATGATCGGACACACTTGCTTTCTAAGCCTTTTTTACATCATGGATTTTACACATAATTTACAAATCCATAAAATATGAATGACATGTGGCTCGTGTCAATTATTCATTCGTCCCCCACTCGGTGGTACCCTTAGGTTAATGTCTGCTGACAGATTATGCTCCAGTAGGTGTAACTTGAAGCTTAGAGTCCTTTAATCATTATAAATACTCTCAACTTTACAAATCTCTTTTTTTTTTTTTTGCACAGGGTGTTCAGGTTTTTGACAGTCCATCAGGGTGAGCATTACCGCCTCACTTCATCATCCTCATACAGCTCTCTGAGTGATCGCTCAGCGTCTGTGTGAAGACCTGTGTAAACCTTGGCGGTGGCGGGACAGAAGCACACGGCTCCCAAAGATGGCATCACCCTTCGTGCCTGTCCCTGTGCCCTTTGACAGAGTCTCAGCTGGAGGTAGCAGTAAGCTCAGACGGCCCCCTCGAGCCTCATCACTCGGCAGCGTCTCCAGCAGCTCAGACTCGTCTCTCCCCAGGGCTGCGGGGGAGGACCTCATCGGACGAGGATGTGGAGGGCTGGTTTCTCAGCGGCAATCTCGCTGCATCGACAGGGGCAGCCGGAGCAGGACGCCACCACCTCTGCAGAGCCCGGTGACTCGGGCCAGGATGAACGGGTCTCTGGATCACGCCGTGGAGTACTCCACCTGTCCCCGCTCCATCTCTGATCCTGTGGGGAGCCAGCAAGTAGAGGAGGAGGAGGAGGAAAGGCCAATAACGCCCACTGTGCTGGGCTACGAGGTCATGGAGGAGAGGGCCAAGTTCACGGTATGAAAACAGAAAATCTGCATGAAAACCTTCTGGAACTTTGGTACAATCTTTGGAACAACTGATAAAATTAAAACCTGTAGTCGTCTATAATCTAAAAAACCTGTAGTTTTATAATTAAAAACACTTCATGTGCTGGCTTCTTTGGCCGTTGCAATTTTCTCCTCACAAAAAGCACAAAGAATGACGAGGGTTTAGACTAAGTGTTAAAGTTTGTTCTACCTGCTAATGACTACGTTCGGTAAAATCTAAATCGATTCGATACCTTGATGGGCTGCACATAGCTACTTTTCCATCAATGAAGACGAGCAGTCAGATAAATATGAACTCCCCTTTTTAATATTTAGACAGTGCGTCAGAAATCAATGTCAGCACAGCTGTTGTTACTTTGTAAACCTCAATAAATTAATTATAAAAGTCCAGCTGCAGCCGGAAAACCTACAAGCAACGTCAGTCGGAAATAAAGGATCAAGTTCTGTTGCTGCATCAATGCAGAAATGTCCAAGTCGGCATGGCGATGCATCGTAGAAGTGATTAACTTGAACACCCCTAAACTAGATAAATATAAGTTTAATGTCAACACCTACTGTGCACACAGACATTTATTATTTATGGTCAAATCATGCAGAAAAGAACGAGGCTTGCAGGACTTGTTACAGTTGTAAAGTTTAACGATGTCAGAAGAGTAGGAGCTGTTTTGCACCGTCATCACTTTGGTTAAATCTCTCACAAGTTCCCTGCAAACAGGTACAGAGTGTGTTCATTTACAGTCGTTAACTTGTGTTTTTATTGTCTTACTTTCGCTGCAGGTGTTCAAAGTCCTGGTGAGGAAGAGCGCGGACGAGAGCTGGGTCGTTTTCAGGAGGTACACAGACTTCTCCAGACTCAACGACAAGGTGTGTGTCTGTGTGTCGTCTCACTGAAGCTTTATTTTGTGCTTGTTCATCTGTGTGTTTGAAGACACTGTGTTTGACTGTCTGCTCATTGCTTTGAGCACGCTTTCAGAGCACACTGTGGAAGTGTTAGAGCCGCACAAAGAAGCTTTTATTCCCAAATAGCCAGCAGGTCTGAGCCAACTGGGAGAACAGGTCTCTCATGGTTTTGGGTCACAGATTATAGAGCGGAGAAAAAAACAAAACACGTGATGATTCTCTTTGAGGAGAAAGAATCTAAGTTGGAAAACTGCATCAAACCTGCAGGAGTTGTTTCTGTAGCTCGGCTTGTGTGATATTGATTAAACCTAACACTGCAGACCTCAATTTACTAATGTAAACACAGGCAGGAAAAGAGCAAAGACAGAAGCTGGGAACACCCTACATGTACTTTCAATAAGAAGGACGGGAGGGGGTGTGGACATCCTCCTCCATTCCTGTGGCTTTTTACACAGAAGCAGCTGTAATCTTCCCCATGTGCTGCACCGTCTTTCTCAGCATGTGCTGAATGTTTAGACGACTCATTGATCAAATAGATTTAACTGCATGGAAATATTTCCACTTTTGGACACATGCACTAACATTTGGATGATGCAAAACATAATTTAGTTTGACTTAATCTGTAAACTATGACAGAATAGTTATTTAGAAGGACCTGCAGCTGCATATGGAGCTCAATGAAAAACATGTGATGCAAAGTGGTGACACATGAACAGGTTCTCAGTATGAAGAGCTGCTGCCTCATTCTTCTCCATGTGGCTGCTGCAAACATTATTTGTTCGCTAGTTTGGACCTCGGCCAACATCACTCTCATCTAAGTCCTTGTTCACACGGCCAGATTAACCCACTTCTTTTTTCCGATATATCAGCCAGTTGATGCAATCTGCATCACATTTAGAAACGTGTGTGTGTTGGAATATGCACCAATTCAACTTATGTTGAACAGAACATACAGTGCAGTGCCAACAGTTCTCATGTATCATCATGTTGTTTGTCCAGCAGAGTGCGCTCCGACTGAGCTTGAGTAACAAATCTTGATGCCATGTCCCAAAAGACAATCAGTGCTGAGATATCCCGACCTCCTGAAATGCATCAAACATTTAAAACAACAATATGGAACATTTCGGCCTCCAGTCGTCTCAAAGTCGACCTAATAGCACAACAACTTTCAACACGTCTCGCAGAATCAATCGTCAACAGAATGACAATGTGAACTAAAGAGTGGAGAAGAACATACTGGAGAACAGGAAACATGCAGCAGCAGGTTCATTAGAGCACGGAGATGGTAGAGGTTGCGTGCAGACAGTCTATGGTCGTACAGTGATCACAGGGAATAAATGACACTCCTCATTCAAATATCAGGAGTTTTTCTGGAGTTTTCTGCAAGTGTGAAAGTACTATATCACTCCCAGAATCGTTATGGTAGTCAACTAATAGCAGATGAGTTCCAAAATGGCACAAATGCGCTTCTGTACCTAAACATTGCCAACAGATTTGACAATAAGACTGTGTGCAGGATGCTTCCTGCAACCTTGGTGAATTACAAACAAATGACCCAATAATACGAGCCAAGACTTTTTGTTTCCTTGGTACCAAAACAGGTAGGGGTAATGTTTGATTTCATTAGTTAAATATCGTTTAAAATTCTGGTATCCTGCAACACAACTTCTCAGGTCATGAAATAAGCAGGTGTGCATTCATGTCGGCACACACCAGCTCCAACAGCTGCCAACACATTCAGAAACTGCTTTCCATTGGAAACATAAATCCTTTGACTGTTTCCATCGGAGTCCTGCTAAGGTGGCCAGTTCAGGACGGGGAACTGTGAGATTGCAGGTCAGAAGTTTATGCAGCAGAGATTTTAACGAAATGTGACAACCATAACATCATCTATAGAAACATCTCAACCCCGCCTGTAAAACGATCCTCCTCCCTGCTGAGTGTCGGTATGATCGCCATCCTCCAAACTGTAGATGTTTTTAAAAACTGCGGGCAAACATGTTCTATATTCTTCAAACCTCACTGAATTTATTATCGAGCCGCCGGCGACCACGCCGCTGTCCTTCTGTGAGACACATCTCAGAGTGCGTGGTAACTGGGTTATCGAATAAGGAAATGTGTGTTTGTTTGCATTCCTTCTGAATTCCCAGGACTCAGAAAAATAGAATGTGAGAAGAGAGGGAAAGAGACACAAAAGGGATTAACCTCAGCGTCCCCCAGAGGCCAGAAAGCTTGCACTGCACATTTATTTTATTAAGGGTCGGGGATTGAACGGTAAGAGCGCCATGCTATGATACAATATGTGATACATGTCCTGTGTTAATGATAATATCACGATACGGCGGCTCTGTGGTTATTGATTTATTGCAGGACAATCATAAAATAATGCATCACAATATCTGATAAACTGAAGAATGTGAAATGCCCCTAAAAAGTGAAAGTGGTGTCAGTTTCATCTCTAACTTCTTTTCTTAAAAAACGGTTTAGGGTGCCGTATTTTTTCATATTAAAATATAGATATTAAAGGAGCGGTATGTAACTCTGACACCTAGCGTTTAAAATGAGTACTGCACTCTAAATTCAGAACATTGCAGAGAGCTGTCTCCCCCCCTCCTCTCTAGAGTACATGCAAGGAGTTGATAGTCATTATGCTTTTTGTGTCTATTTATCATCTTACAAAGAATCACTTGCATGCTCGATAAAGATATTTGAAGTCTACTTTTAATGTAAATCTTTCTATATTTAACGTGAACTCTGGTTAAAAGAACTCGTTTCAGTGTCCACTCTTTCCTCTTTCCCTGAGAGCCTTTACATTTAGATCTGAAGCACTTGGCTGTTTTCATGTCACTTGCTAAATTACTTTTAAGTGTCAAATATTTTATCCGGCACCAGAAGGATTATTTTTAATATCAAACAGCTGAAAGCTCAGTGAAACCAGTCGGTTGGCACTCTGCTGCACATGAAAGGTCACACCGTTGCCATCTGACAACATGCGTTGGATTAAAGCAACAAAACACACGAGCAGCCTTGTGCTTCAGGGGACGGCTCAAAGAATAAATGAGGACCACCAAGGAGCCCGAACCAAACGAAATTCAACCAGCACTACGACACAAAGAAATCTTTCTTATCCCCAGAGGTCAATTTGTTCAGCCACTTCTGATCAAATCCCCTCTGAATAGAAAGAATGTTCTCCTTGAATCAGATTATCAGTCAGATACTTCCTGCTGAACTCACTGAAGCATCCCACCACTGCATTAAGGTGAGAGACCTTTAAGCTGTGAGTATTCTTGGTTTTAGCGACCCGTACCCGATGAGACTGTCGCAGTAGTCCAGTCTGGAGGTGTTGAAGTTGAGGGTCTCAGCAGCTGGAAAGGAGAGGGAGTGATGGACGGAGGCGGGCAATGTTTCTGAGATGTATAAAGGCTTTTTTTTGGTGATGTGTTTTTTGATATTATGTTTGGAGAAAACTTGTGCAGTCAGTGAAATGTCATTGTGTTGACTTTTAAACATCCACCTCATGTCTCTGTCAGTTCAGCCGGACATAATGACCCCAAACGTGAACGCCACCCACAAGAAATTCTCTCTCTCTCTACACTTTAGCTCACTTTGTCTCTATTGTCTACTTTGACCCATGGAGAGAATATTTATTTTCAACTGCTCTACAAAGTGGACATCATCACATGATGCCTTTGTGCATGTTTGTGTTTTTAGCTGAAGGAGATGTTCCCGGGTTTCCGCCTCTCGCTGCCTCCAAAGCGCTGGTTCAAGGACAACTACGACACCGACTTCCTGGAGGACAGACAGCTCGGACTGCAGGCCTTTCTGCAAAACCTCGTCGCACACAAAGACATCGCCAACTGGTACGAGACACGATTATGTAGATTATGTAACAAGCAGATTTTTTTTTCCCACTTTGCTTAAAAAATGACTGAAAATGTTCTGATGGTGTTTGTTCTCTTGACCAGCATGGCAGTGAGAGAGTTTCTGTGTCTGGACGACCCGCCTGGACCTTTTGACAGTCTGGAGGAGAGCAGAGTAAGTTTTATATTTGTTTCATGTACTGTATGTTTACTAACTAGGATTTAAAAGATGGTTCTTTTAATTTGACAGTGTAAATAGTACTATAGCTCTCCATACTCTAAATGAAGATACTGTTAGGTGGGGGTTGTTTCTGTTTGTATAAATCCAATGAAGAAATCGTGAAACAGACTGGAGATTAGAACACCATTTAATCGGCCGAGGTCAGACAACTTCATCAAACAAGCACGCTTCCAAATCACTTGACTGACAAAGTGCTGACAAAGTAACAGTGTTCACAGTGCCGCTTATATTCTGTCAAAAAGGTGCAACCCACAAATTCCTTTCCATTTGGGTACATCACCATAAAACAATAAAGATGACATGACACTGATTTATATACGTAACAACTGTAGACTCTCTGTCTAGCAAACAGTTGCTGACAACATATGGTTGGCTCCTATCCAAACATAGATCTGCTACTACTTAGGTGCTTCACTCATATAAGTTTACAGCTTCAGACACCTAAAGGTAGGAGTGTTAACAGGTGGTAGGCAGACTTGAATAATACATTTCACGAAGTTACAAGATTAATGAATTTCATGAAAATTCGTACTAACAGATACTAAGGCTGCTTTTCTTCTGAATCAAGGCTACAACATTTAGTGACACATATTTACATATTTCGATCATTGTTGGCAGTGATGCAGACACAGTTTAACAACAGACATTAAACTTCAGACAACAAAGATACAGATACAGGAGCATGATGAAATAGATTTTATGAAAACAAGCTTTGAACATTATTTATTTGGTATCGATTGCTCCCTCCGGATGGGAAGTGAGTCCCTGCCTCAAGTGAAGGAGTTCAAGGACATGGGGATCTTATTCACACTGAGGGTAAAATGGATGTTGAGATTCACAGACAGATTTGTGCAGCAAAGTATTATGGCTGGCGTTGACAAGGGAGATGAGCCAAAAGGCAAAGCTTTTCGATTTGCCAGTCACTCTACGTTCACCAGTGCCATAGCTCTGTGGTCATGAACTTCAGTTAGGGTCCGGAGGAACGAGATGGCGGATGCAACTGGCTGAAATAAGTTTCCTTCGGGCTCAGACCTCTGGAGGAAGCTCGGAGTAGAGCAGCTACTCCTTAGCTTCAAAAGAAGCCAGTTGAGGTGGTTTGGGCATCTGATTAGGTTTCCTCCTGGACGCCTCTCTTTAGAGGTTTTCGGGGCACGCCCAACTGGGCAGAGACCCGGTGTAGACCCAGAGCTCACTGGAGGGATTATATATGCTGTCTGGCTTGAGAACGCCTCAGGATCCCCCAGGACAACATCGCTGGGGTGAGGGAAGTCTGGGTTGACTTTCTTAGCCTGTTGCCAACATGACCTGGTCTCAGATACCTAAAGAAAATGGATGCATGGACGTCAGCTGCAGAGCATCGTAAAGACACATAGCTATAACCTGAGACTGTTTTCTTCTGTGCTTGAAGCCGTTTTTAATAACTGAGAGGAGAAGATTGTTTAGCTTGTATTGAAAAGCTCAAAAGCTTGTCTCACGTGTCACATGGACACTGTGCTAAAGCCTTTGAAATATACTCTTTCTTCAGGGATAAATTCTAGTATGTCAGGGCGCGGTCTCGCTATTATTACAGCAGCCAATAAACTCGTCACAAGCTGTTAATGTACCTTATAGAAAAACCCTTGTTAAACAGTTGACTTTACCCGACACATTCTCAGACACAAAGCTGTGTGTGTCAAACTATTTAATTTTAGATTCAACACAGAGCTTTAGATTAAAATGTTATCCTCTACCTCTCCTCTGCTGCGTGACACATTTTGCCCACCGCCCTGTGTCTCCACTGGAAAAATAATATTCACTTCAAGTCGTGTTTTCTTCTGCTGCTGTGCCCTGCAGGCGTTCTGCGAGACTCTGGAGGAAAGCAACTATCGCCTCCAGAAGGAGCTGCAGGAAAAGCAGAAGGAGATCAGCTCCCTGAAGAGACGGCTGGAGGAGAAGGAGCAGGCCATCCTGCTGCTGGAGAAGAAAATCAAGTCAGTGGACAGACATGAACATAAACACACACAAGCCGCTTTCACACATGCACTCCTGAAAATAACTAGATCAGTTCAGGAGGACTGCCCCTGAAATCCTCCTGATCTGGTTATTCAACCTGAAGGTGTCATATCTGGTTCAAAGAAATAAGTGTAGCAGCTGAGCTCTGCAAACACATCCTCAGTGCTAAAAGAGAATCTACTGGAGCTGTAAGAAACTCAATATCGACCACGTGTCATTTTGTGTGTTTGTGTGTCCCAGTGGCGAGTGTGTGAGTCCTGGGTCTCTGTGCGGTTTGTCGGCTCAGAGCAGTGAGAGCGGCGCAGAAGTGGACGTGGAGTCGTCCGTAGCAGAAGCTGATCAGGACATGACTGAAGACAGCAGGTAAAAAAAAAAAAACACGCCACACAGGCAGGAGTGAATATGATGAGAGAGTTCATGCACTGAACACGGAGATCAAACCCAAGTCACTCAGCCAAGTCCCGCACTCACCTGTTTGTTTTTCTTTAACGTGTCCCCTGTTGTGTTTTCTCACCCTTTTATTTTTCACAGCAGTGCCGCTCCAATCTGACACAGAGTCCGTAAAGTGTGTGAGGTACTTTAAAAACAGCTCAGCAGACGAGCTCTGGCCCCGTCTCTTCTTCTTCTTCTCCTCAGTAACATGCATCCCTCTGTTGACTTCTTCACTGTTTTTATGTGATGTAAAGTGTAAAGTCCGTCTGGATGCAGTTCTCACATTCTGTATGTACAGTTAGTCATTGCTGAATAATACCCTTTCTTACAACTGTACATACGACATGTGAGCACTTAAACCTGTCTGTTCGGTGTTTTCAGGAAGTTTATAACGGTTGGAGACGGTTCATTTTCAGCGCAGATAATTCAGTAAAAACATGTGCAGGAGATTGACATGATTTTCTTTTTTTCTTACTCTTATCTTAGGGTATATTTTCATATTAGGTTTGTATTAATATCAAAAGTGTTTATTCCTTCTTAATTCATTTAGTTTTTGCAACAAACAACTTAAATCTGCTGAATTTATCCACGCGCACAGACACAAACACCAGCAGTACGCCTCGTGTTTTGAAAAGTTCCACTCGATAATCCGTTATTTGTAGGAGTTCAGCATCAGCAGCAGTCAGCTGTACATTAACATTTTTAAAATGAAGCCATGAGAAGCTTCAGTTTTGATATGAGCGAGAAAGAGGGGTGTACGGACAGTGGATCTACTCTCTCTCTTTTTCTCTGAAGAGGATGTGATACAGCCCTCTCGGTTTTGTCGTGAGGTCCAGAGAGCACACACTCTTTCTCCCCCACTCTTGCTGTGTCGCACACCCAGCAATTTTATGAATAAATGAAAAATTAAATAAAAACAGGTCAGATATATACTTGGGCGGCCATACATTTGGTATCGCTATGTGTGGGAAACACTGACAGATCTCAGAACAGTTCCCACTGGCCTACAGCCTGTTTTTATTTTCAGTTTTGCACAGTGAACACACATACAGTTGAAGTGTTTGCTTTGTATCCCAGACTATGTACACCGTACGTACAGAAGGAGCTTGAGTTCAACATTTCAAAAACTGTGCAGAGTGGTCCCAAATTTACACAAACCTATGACGAACATGAACGAACTCCAGAGACTGAAGCGTTCATGTTTTGGTACAGGAACATTTCTCTGACATTGTAGTGAAGTATTGTTATTTGCTCTGAGAACGTTTCGTCTCCAACCATGTGGTGTTGTTATGGTGCTGCAGTGTTGTGTGCTGACTGTGGTTTCCTGCATCGTCCTTGACTAACGGCTGCTGTTAGCGCTCCTCTTCTCACACACGGTGATGTGAGCTCTCTGAGCTCCGTACGGTCTGTGATGTCAGGTGTTCCTCCGCCCTCTCCCACCCCCTGCTGCCGGACACACGGGGAAGATGTTCTGATTAAATCACATTATTGGTTCACAATATCAGAAAGGTAGTCTGACAAAAAAAAAGAAGTTTTTTGCTTAGTGTCTTGAGCTCCTGGAGCTTTGTTCAGTTAGTTGATATGTGCACTTCATATTTGACCTTTTCCGTTTATAATTGTGTGTTGAAAAGACCCTATGTCGTCTTGCATTCCTTCAGTCAAATCTGTGCACTTTATTTTTTTAGCTGCTTCACTGTGTACAGAGAAAAACCAACATGGCGGCTGTAAACTTTACAAACTTTGATGGAGCCTTCAGTGGTCAAAATGGTTTTTAACAAGGAACTGAATTGTCCACAGAGATCTCCTCCTACAAAACACAAGATGAGTGATTCAAACAGATTTAAACACTGAAGAAGCAGTTTCATTTTTAAGATCAGTGATTCTGTGATGCTCTACTTTGTTAGGCGACGGATATAAGAGAGGGCTGCTTGATTTGAAGTCTTGATTCCTTTATTTTAAGTTACTCAGGTTTTTTTTCCTGCAAGTTTAAAATCCTCGACAGCAGTTTTCAACTCTCCAAGACTCTAAAATCTGTAACGCTGAACTGCTGCAAACGTTGAACCTGTCCTCCCGCTTTGCTTCTGGTGTTGTTATATGAATAACATGTGACTCAGTTTCTGTTTTCTTCCACAAGGACGGCTAACTGGTTCAGATAAATTAACCCCTCTCCTGGATCCTGTTAGTGTGTCTGGCTTCATGTTGTCTGAGTCCTCACTCTGTGTTGAGTTAGCGAGTTAGATAAATCACATGCTGACTGTTTCTCTTCGCTGTCTGTAGTAGAAGATGTGAGGTCCAGCCGGTGCGATCCTCTGCCTGTTGGTGCGGCCCGTCGCTCAGCGCCTCTCCTCCGGTCATCCAGGTCACTCAGCTCTACCACCACAAACTGGAACACTAATGACGTCCACTGCACCTCCCCCTTCTCCTGCTTTCCTCTTCCTTTAGGCCTTTCTGGGTTCTTCTTGCCCTCTCTTTGACCTGCCCCCCACAGCTCCCCCTCCACCTTCCAGTCGTTGGTTTGCTGCAGCCTTGAACTCGAGATGAGCATGTACAAGGTTAAAAGGGAACGTTTTTATTCTGCAGCAGTCGGTTTCACAAATACTTCAACGTATATGATGGGTGGTGGTGGTGGTGGGATATTTTATCTGGCATCTGCAGAGGAATCCTCAGAGAACAATATCTGAAATGACTCGGCTATTCTTCTGAAACCTCAGACTCAAACTGTGCGGGGACGCCTCAGTCCTCCTCTTTCCCTTTTTGAACCTCCAAACATGGTCGCCTCACCGGATCATCGTGATCCTGCGGTCACAGAGCGAGGGTCTGGCATCCTGACCATAAAAAAATAAAATTCCGTCAAGACTCACACGGTCAACGGGTGGTTTGAAGACTTAAAAAAAAAAAGTGACAATCTACAGAAAGTCTGAACATTAATCTCATGGGTTTCTGCAGATGAGTGTGAAAAGCAGAGAAACAACGCCCCCTTGTGGCCGCAGAGTTAAGGAAAAAAAAGTCTGTGTTTGTTAAATATCTCAGGATCAACATGAGAAACCAGGCAGGTATCAGAGGATTGATGACTTTCTGTCTGCAGGTTGATCACGCCATGGCCTCTCATTGAGACACAGCTTTGACCTTCAGTCACAGTTTTTCCTCTCCTACACTTCATCCTGTTTGTAGTTCCATGTGTGATCTGTGATGAAGTCCTGAGAGACACAGTAAAATTAGGAACATACTGTACAGAGAGCGAGCCAAGGCTCTGCGGCTGATTGTTGCTTTTAGAGGAATGTAACATCCGATGTAAACACTATCAAGTCTCATTCTTCATGTACACTCACATCACTCCTTCTGCTGCTCCGTGTTTATTATGCAAGTTTAAGTCGAGTGCATGCCGACCTCTTTAGGCGCCTTGCGTCCTAATAAACAGTCGACAGGGCCAGAACAGTCAGCTCTACTAAAACTCCACTGAGGGGGTTCAGCCCTTTTATAAAAGTATGTTTCTGTTTACGTTGAGATTTTATTGAATAAGATTTTAAGATATTCACTCACTGCCTCTGCGTGAACGGACTTTAGTTTGTGGTGATCATGAAAAGCTCAACGGTGAAGCGGAGGTATCTCAGGAGCTCAACTTCCTGCCGCGCTAAGCTGGGGTTGGTTTTGTAATGCGCCCCCTTAGTGCCCCTTAAGCTGACCCCTTGAATGAGGAATTCTGGTATTTTTTCCCACCTGGTTTTGACAGATTCAAGGGTTTTCATAAATATTATTAAAAGCTTTTTTGGATTTGCTCCAGAAGATTTTTTTCAGTTGGCAGCAGTGAAAGAGGCCGTAAGAGCTGCTCTGTTAATCTAAGTATCTGACGACATCACAGACAGGATCCATGCAGAGGTAGACCTTGTTGTTACAGAGGAAGATGCAGAAACAGTGATTTTATCTTGCATAGTAAAAGATTCTGGTTGGTTTTATTTGGTGTTTTGCAGATGCAACTGTAAGTCTGGTTCATAAATCTCAGTGGAAATGTCAATTTCTAAGTAATATTTTTGGGCCTTTTTGTCTGGGACAGGAAATATTGGGAGGACAGAGTGGGGGGGATGACATGCAGCAAAGGACCGAGGTCAGATTCTAACCCACGCTTGCTGCAACAAGACTTTTAGCCTCTGTACATGGGGGGCATGACATAACCACTAGACTATCTGCAGCCCGAAAAAATGTATTTTCAAAGCCTTGTGCAAAGTATCAGACGTAGATTATCGTCTCTCTTTGACACCACGAGGTGATGTGTCTGCAGTCTGCACATATCCACACTTCCTGTTTCTGCATTCATCACAGCGTTCTCACATCAGTCATTTCACATCACAGAACTCAGGAGCTGCTGGTCTACTTTTGCTTTCTAGTTTTGGTCTTTGTGTCACTGTGCAACTTTGTTATGTAGAAAGGTTAAATAAGATTCAGCACATTATTAGTCCAAACACGCATAAACAGAAAGAAAAGCATCGCTTCAGGCGGCGTCCGAACAGTAACTCGTCTGTTCTCCAAGTTTCAAATGCTTTCTTTTGGATTGTGGTGTCTTTAGAGAGGGTGATGTAACAGCTGTTTCTGCTCAATGTAAAGCAGCTCCCTCTTCCACATTCTCTAAAGATGCTATTTGAGATGGGCTCCTCCTCTGAGATTTTTTCAAATACTTATTGGACGCACTTTGATCTGCTCTATAGGAGGCCGAGCTGCGGTCTGATGCGATCACCCAGAGCGACATGAAAACGTTTAAGTTACACCGATTCCTAAATATGCAAACAGAGCTTCGGTTTACCTTTTTGAAAACTTTCATTTCTTTCCAGTGAGGGATGCAGAAAGAGATCACCCGTCATTCACACATGACTGTTAGTTTACAGGAATCATAAAAACACAGAACCTACCTGAGAGGGGGAAACAAGACTTGATAAATCTGTAAATAAGATCAGAGCCATGTCGCTGGTGTTGGATGCTGAACACGACTGAGCCGAGCTGGCTTTGAATCTGACTGTTAACGATCCTCCACTTCATCCTTAAATAGCCATATTAGTTAGGAGCAGATAAACTTTTTAAAAAGGCCAATGTCTCGCTCCAAGTGATGTTTGTTTTCTCTCTTTGATGATGAGTTTCATGAAGTGTGAAAGTACAGTTAAAGTTTTAATGGTCTCAGAGCGGGCCTCACGTCTCACGATGCACTTTATGGATGAATGGAGACCCATCACGTTTAGTTTGTTTAACTCCTTCATTTGTTTGAGACAGAAACGTGCCTTCTCAACCGCTCAATCTGTCCTCGTTCTTATCCCGTGTTGATATGTGTTGATATGTGATTCATGTTTTAGGATTTTTTCTTTAAATTCCTCTCGTGCATTAAGTGCCTTAGTGATCTCTCACTTTCCTTTTGATGTGTGTAAACAGCTTTATAGACTCACTCCACTTTTTATTCTCCCTCTTCTGTTGGTGTTGTGAGGCTGAACTGAAATGTTTTTGTAATATTAAAAACAATATAATCAAGTCTTAATTCACGTAGACACTGATAGTTGCACTTTGAAAGATTTCTATGAATAACATTTCACCTTTAACGTGGTGGATTTAAAGGGATACTCCACATGAATAAAGACAGAGATCTGGTGTGTAGATCGGAGATAAATGAAATATTTAATGCTCACATAAATAAATGGATGATGTATTGAATCTGTGTGTGTATGTGTGTTCTGTTTGGTGGGTTTAAAGTTACAGAAAGACCTTTTGAGAAATGCACGTAAATATCCTCCGACTTCACCACACGCTGTAACTCCCAAAATACAACTTTAACAAGGTGTGTGCATAGTGTGTATTGTTCTTTGATGTTTGGGGGATTTTTGTTTATATATAGTTTTTAATGGCTGCTCTGCTGAGTAATGTAAAGTTTAGGAGACACAGGCTCGTTCACAGCCCGATGGAAGGGAAGGACTGTGACCATGAAAACGACTTGAAAGGCTTTTCGAGAGATTCTTCAGGGCGATGATTTGTCGTGAGTGATGTAATCTTTATTGTTCATGTCTGGTCGCTCAACACCACCCTCATCTTTTGTGGGATTATTCAGACACTACCCTCCTGTTGTCCTGGGGTCAATCTGACCCCAAATTCAATCTTTTGCCGTCAAATATGTTTTTTATTCATCAAATGGTCTGAAAAAAATGGGGGTTATTCAGTACAATGCTCTCCATGATTAAAATAAATTTGAGGTCATTTGATTGAATTATGGGTGTTTTATTGAATTTACTAACGTCTTTTATCCCCTTGGGTTTAAAATGATCCCGCAGCATAAAGTGATGCATTGGAGCAAATGATCACACCATACTGCTTTCCAAAACATCTTTGATCTTGGATGTTTGATGTTTTGGGTCAAGCAATAGTTATGACAACAACAACAAAAAACTCAGTTTCCTGCACTAGTAAGGTCTTTAACTGCATTAGTTTATGAGTAGAGAGTTGAAAGATTTACTAGTAAACTAGTAGATAGCAAAAATTCTAAATGTTAACTAGTAATGTGCAAAATGTCTACTAGTTAACTAGTGAGGCTATTCCTTTAACATTAAAGAGCACATATTTTGCCCTTTTTGGGGTTTGTATATTTAATCTATGTACTTACTTTTGTGTGTTCACAATAGCTAAAGTTATAAAAAAAGTGTCTGTTTTCATGTACTGCTCCTCCTTGCTCCCTCTCCGCTCTGAGTCTGTCAGCTACACTCTGTTGAGCCCACACTGTTAGACCCCACGTGGGCCAAGTCTGTTCTGATTGGTCTGCCGATCAGCTCTATCGTTATTGGTCAGTTGCTCAGCACGCTTCTCGGAAATTTCAACATGAGCTGCAGAGCTTGCCACAACGAGCCAATGGGCTTAGATCAGTGATCTCACACTGACAATGACGCCGGACTGACACATTTTTATCGAGGGGGGCTAGAACCGAGCGTTACATGCGGCTAATGCTACAGCTAACGAGGATGACATTAAGGACGTGGACAGCCGCCTGGGCAAGTTGGAGAAAATAATAACACAACTTAAAGACAAAACTGATGATCTGGAAAATCGTAGCAGAAGATCAAACATCAGAATCCTGAACAGATTGAGAGAGGTTGATGTGTGATTACACTTTGACTATTTACAGCCTAATGCTCTGTTCATTTAACAGTGCAGAGGTGCCTTAAAACATAGAGTTCCCTTATCAAGAAAAATTTAGTTTAGCACTACAACTTATAATTTATGTATATAATTGGTTTAAAGGGTATATGTATATTATGGATACATTATTTTTCTCTAATGGTTAGGCTACCTGTTGTTAAAAATGTCTCTACGTTCAGACTGTTATAAGTAGCCTAAGTTTAGTTTTTACCAAAGCAGTTCCAGGGGTAGACACGGTTGATAAAGAGAAGTACCTACCTAATGTCGTTTTGTTTTGGGGGTTTTATTATACAGGTTTTTAGTTTAAAGTTTTGGGGTTTTGTATGGACTCTCATTGGAATCAAAATTTACACCTACATTTTACAAATATTCCTTTCTGGTCTAGGTTGAGGCTTGCCATTACACCACCACTTCTGGAGCTACAGCAGAGTTTGAATCAGACACTGTACTGTGCTCATAAAACACACTACTCTGCAGACATATTTATTTACAGAACACATATGGATAAATAAACTATTAACATATCTTAAGAGACAAAGCGTTGACATAGCTTTTATTCAAGAGAGCCACCTCACACACTTAGAACATTCAAAATTGCGCAGGGATTGTTTTGACAATGTTTTTTATTCTTCATATACCTTAAGCGCAAGAGGAGTTGCTCTGCTTATTCACAAAAATCTGAACTTTAAATTAAATACAGTTGAAAGAGATAAAGATGGAAGATTCCTGCTTGTAGACTGTGTGCTGAATAGGGACAGAGTAACCTTGGTAAATATATATGGACCCAACTATGACGACCCAGTATTTTTCAATAATTTGTTATTGGGGCTTGCTACAGTTGAAGGGTATAGTGTAGTGGGCGAAGACTTTAATTTGGTGTTAAATCCTTCTCTGGATCGCTCTTCACCCAAATCCATCTCTCTGTCAAAAGCAGCCACAGTGCTAAAGAAAGGTATGGCAATCACTCCATCCAAAACAAAAAGATTTTTCCTGCTACTCAGGAACACATAATACGAGATTTAAAAATTACATGTTAAAAGACCCAGAATTAATTTCTTACATGAACAATAATATTGACATTTTTCTGGCAGCAAACAAAAACTTGTCAACACATGCTAATATATGGGAAGCACTTAAGGCTTTTATGAGAGGACACATACTTTTATACAGTGCGCATAAAGCCAAAGAGAAAAGAGAAAAATTTGCAAAGCTTGAAAATGATTTGAGAAAAATCGAACAGGATCGTCACACTTCCAAAACTGATGAAAATCTTAATTCCCTTACAAAAACAAGAACAATATATAATAATCTATGTACAAGCAAAGAAGAGGCAGCCATGGCCCGCACCAAATATCATTATTATGAATTTGGAAATAAAGCTTGGCAAATAAAGAAAGAGAATGCTGATAAATTCATACACTCAGTATTAACAGCCAATATTAGATGGTAGGCAACTGAATGGCTCCACAGCCATAAATACAGAATTCAAGCGAACGGAATACCTTTGCCAAAATTAAAAGATGACGATAGAAAACAATACAGTCAATACATTCCATTATAAACAATATTTTATCTTACTTGCTAGCACTGCAGCAAAGAAATGTATTTTAACTCACTGGAAATCTGAAGAGCCACTGTCAATGAGACATTGGATAAATGAACTGGTGTCCTACTGCACTCCTGAAAAAATATTATATAATGTAAGGAGAAAACCTGAAACCTTAAATGAAATCTGGGGTCCCTTTCTCGACATTTTGCCTTCTTCAGAGCAGGATGGGCATAAAAGTGCAACTCTTCCTAGACCAACTCAAAGTTAATCACCCGGATTAAGCCAAATGTGAATATGTGTGGACACAAGTACATGAAGATAAATGAAAGAAAATAGAGAGCCATACTGGGGAGAAGGGTGGGATATGGGAGGACGGGTGGATTTTTTTTTTTTTTTTTTAGTTTTTCTCTAAATTCTTTGTTTTTATTATTATTACTTAAAACAATAATAGCAATTGTTACAATTAGATATATTACAAGTGAATAGACACTGGATTTGTGTTTTCTTTCTCTTATTTCTTTCTCAATCATTACTTTGCATACATACTATTATTGTAATTATTGTTACTACAATTATTGATGCTGTTGTTAATAGTATTATTATTAGTATAGTTGTAATATACTTATATTATAACTATATAGAATTGCCTAATTGATATAGGGGTATATTAGAAGTACACTTGCTAAATCTATTTAAGTATATACATCTAGATTTTCTCTGGTTATTCATGTATTATTATTATTATTTTTTATTATTATTATTTATTTATATGTTTTTATGTCTGTTTGAAACACACCACAGAATGTTCATATTGACAGTGGATTTGCTTATAAAGTTTATGTTTTCCTAATAAACAAACCTTTAAAAAAAAAAAAAAAAATCCACTTTATATTCTTTAAATTACAGTCAAACCGGACAGGGTCAATTTGACCCCAGAGGGCAGCTGGTGTTATTATTTGCTGCCATTCAAAAAATTCAAATGATTCAAACACAGCATCATCACTAAACTTATACTTAGACATAGACTTACACCACTCTGTGATAAGTCAAAGAGTCAAAATGATATAAAGTCAAATTATTATTTTTTTTTACTCAAAAGCAGGGTATACTTTTATGTAAACAAGGTAAAAAGGCCTTAAATTAAAAATAAAAAAAAAGGAAAAATGTGTGTTAATGGGTTGGACTGAAGTCAGACTAAAGGTGTAACACAGAATTGATAGAATTAATTTATGTTATATGCCTCAAATTACAATCAAACCAGACAGGGGCATTTTGACCCCAGAGGACAGCAGGTATATAGCAATCAGGAGGACATTTCGAGGTGATAAAACATTAGTATTGTAGTCAAGACCAAACCGACCGAGACCAGAGTGCTCCAAGACCGAGACAAGACCAAGACATTCAGGGAACAAGGCCGGGTCAGTTTGTGAGCAAACTGGGAAGAGTTTGTTCTGCAGAGGCACGGGGAGCTGGAGATATGGTAAGATAATCCTTTATTTATCCCACAATGGGGAAATGTACAGTGTTACAGCAGCAAAGAGCAAAGATTGCAAACAAAAAGTGAACACAGTGCTATTTAAATAAAAAAAAGAAAAATTAAGAATGTACAAAAAATAGATAAATACAAAAATGTAGTCAGAATATTCTGTGTAACACAGACATGCACACAGTGCACATAAAGTGTAACATGTTAGTGCACAGTGGTTTGATAAAGATAATATAACATTAATATAACATTATTATTGCACAAAGTCAGAGTGAATTGTCCAGTTGTGTGTGTGTTTTGTGATCTACTGGGAGCAGGTTTGGTTAAACAGTCTGACTGCAGCAGGAAGGAAGGACCTGCACTATCTCTCCTTCTGACACCGCGGGTGGCAAAGCCTGCCGCTGAAGGAGCGGCCCAGAGCTGTTACAGTTCCATGCAGGGGGTGGGAAACGTTCTCCATCAGGGATGATAGCTTTGCCATCATTCTTCTGTCTC